TGCGGGCAACATGTAAATTTACATGGTAGGAAACACAACAACAATGGAGAGCCGCAGCAGGGGTCCAAGTGGGTGATGGTTAACGCATCGTATCCCGTGCAAGGAAACTAGTCATTTATCAGGAACGATGGTCGTCCCCGTGCTTTCTCCGAGGAATAAGTTGTCCCCCGGCTAGGAAAATCTTTCCGGAGTGGGGAAAAAACATCTTGACCTGTAGCTAGTCTACTATTCGGCTTCCAGACCTGAGGCTCTGGCGTCCTACTATAGTCTTTGACTTACACAGGACGTTAAAAGGATAAAACAACCAAACAAACAAAGTAGAATCTGAGCCCCCTAAATCCTCGCTTATGGCCCACAAATCGCCTGGTTACCCCGACAAGATTCTATGGCTCACTTACGACTCCACGGATGTCACGCTGCATGTTATATATCTTTTGGTAGGGCATGGCGCAAGTGGCAAAAAGAAGATTTCGAAGGCCACTACGAGGTTTGAACTCGCGGCCTTGGTGTAAATTATTGCATTCTGGGGATGTAGAATTGATTGATCTTTAGAAGTTGAGGGACTTAACTCTTCCTTAAATACATGAGAAATTGATCCGAGCGAGAACCTCGGTAATTACAGATAAACTATGGAATGAATATGAATGGTGGAACTGCCAAGTTTATTGCATTCTCTGAGCAAAGGAAGAATGTGGATATAATGTAACATAAATCTTATGAAAGGTTATTAGCACCACACCCTGACTAACTGAGTTAAGCGACCTTGTTGATGATGGTATGCTGTTGCATTATATCCCCACTCTTTCTTTCTCCATATTTCCTAGAAGACTTGACAGTTTTACCAGAGGTTTTGCCATGGCTTCACCATTGATTTTTATCAGCCTGTAACTCGCAATGTATTGGCTCATATGTACATAATCAAGAGTTGTGGCCTCAACTTCTAGAAATCAATCGATTCTACATACCCAGAATGCAATAGTTATTAGCTCGGATTTTTCCGATTGAAAACCTTGATTCACGATCCACGAAATCGACACACCTCACTCCTCACTCAACAACGAAACTTCGATTCGATCCATACATACGAACCTCTGCACTAGAAACCCGAATATACGCCAAAATGTCCTCCCTCACCTCGAAGCCAATCATACTCGATGGGCCTCAACCATGGAAGAACTGGATATCAATGGTCAAATGCAAGGCAAGGACAGAGGAGACTGAAAGAGTCTAGAAGTATACCAACCCCGACTTGTCGCCACAACCAATTCTACCAATAAAGCCAGAGGCACCAGAGTTAGATGACGATGCCTCAAGGGAAGACATTGATATCTGGCTAATCAAAATTTCTCTTTATCAACTCGAGAGAATAGATTGGGAAAGTGACATGAAGTTATTGGAGGAGATCAGATGGTGGATCACAGAACACATCACCCAAACCAACTTCGGATACATCAGAAATGACACCACAACCTGGCAGGCGTTACGCCACCTCAAACAACGGCTTGAACCAACTTATGAGGCTCAAAAATACGACATGATCAAAGCGTACTGTACAACAAGCTTAAAAGATACAGCAAAAGACAAAAGGTTGAGGCGTACATACAGGAGTGGAAGGCGACGGTATGGGTGTGTAAACTCCTAAACTTGCCAGAAGTGTAGGGGGATAGACCACAAGAGGACTTTATAGTGGCAATTTGCCACAATAGATCACCAATTCGCGTCAGCCCTGCAAATCAAGCTGGTAGGGCAAAGGATGAAGTCCAAACTAGTGTACGAGTTCACCACACTGACCCAAATTTTCAGGGATCATATACTGTGCCCAGTCACTTAAAGCTCTTAATCCTAGCTCCAACTCTGCCTTTGTAACTAGCGTGGATGGCGACTCTCTCAAAGAGAGCTCCTCAAGCTCAGCTTCGACAGCAACAACTCCGAAAAACCCGTGGGATAAGCCATGCTCATGCGGAGATATCCACAAGTGATTGGATTGCCCGCAACTGAATCAATTCTACATACCCAGAGTGCAATATATGCATAGTCGGATTTATAAAGAAGTGTGCGAGGAGGTGGAAATAAGATAGGTGCTTCAGTGGAGGTAGTGATAGGTTAGAGATGTGGGCTTCTTGTAGGCGAGTTTAAGCAAGAACTTGCATCGTGAAGAAGGGAACTGCGCATCCTGGATTTGCATCTCGTGTGTGTAGGACAATGAGTTTATTCCGGGGCCAATTTCCTGGCCTGGTGCGTAGTCCCTTAACTTCCCCCAGCCAATTCCCTCAACCTACTCCTCCAGTCCCGCCCTTCTCTCTCCAACTCACCAACCCTCTCCCTCAACGCCCTATTCTCATCCTCTAATACCCTGACCCTCCCATCCCCTCGTTCCATCTCCAACCTTTCCCTTCTCTCAACCTCACTCTTCAGCTTCCCCCTCACAACCTCTATCTCCCTCGTATAAAGATTAATCTGCCCATCTTGCATCCTCACTCGGCGTTCTAAACTCTCGATTTCTTGTTTGAGAGATAGGGAGGAAGAGGAAGAGCGAGTAGCTCGTTCAAGCTCGTTGGTTATGACCGAGAGTGCTTTTTCGATTTCGGGGGTGAAAGGTGAGTATTTGGATTTGCGTTTCTTGTGGGGCGGGTGCTGTGGTGGAGAGGAAGAGCGTGGACGGGTGCCAGATGGTTCAAAAGTTGTCGGTGCTGGTGGAGGTGGGAGAGGCGTGGAATCAGGGAGGACAGACGGGATCGATGGCGGTGTTGGGTAATGTGTATGTGGATTTGAGGCTGTCGTATGTGGTTGCGAACCAGAAACGCCTGTCGGAATGACAACACTTGTGACAGGAGACTTTCCTATAGTATTTTCAAATTCAAAGGTCGAATTTTCACCATTTCTAGTTCTCTTCGCCTGCCCTATTCCAAGAGTACTAGACACTTCCCCAGCTTGACTCGCTGAACTTCTCCCATCCAAAATCTCCGGGCTGAAATACCCCGTCCTCCTCTTATCTTCTACCCTTGGACTGAAGTAACTTGTCGGACACGGCTTCGGTGGGACGTTATACTCTCTTACCACACAATGTGGACAGAACCAGAATTTGGGCGTCTCGGCAGGGTCGGTCATGCATTCTGAGTGGTAGCAGTTCTCGCATGTCTGACATTCGTAAAGTTCATTAGGGGAACCGCAGACGAAGCAAAATGTGTCGTGAGGACCTAGGTGGGGTGTTAGATTGGGATGAAAGACATCTATGATGAGAATAGGGGGTGAAGGGAAGGTAGGTAGTGAGTGGCGGTTTACCATCGTAGTGGTGTTCACCCCCTCGCCAGTCGATAATGGGGCCTATGCTTTCATAACCGTATACATGCCTGGAAACATCACTCGAGCGATCTGTGCAATCTCCAGGGCGTGTCCAGTCTACCGGGGTTTGCATGGGGTAGGTATTCTGGGATTGCGGTGAGCAATTGTAATAAGTGGCGTTACAAAATAAAGTAGAAGCTCACGATCACATCTGCCATTTCTAAGTGATTTCGTAAGGTTACGATTTCAAGTCCTCATCCAAGTTTGAGAAAGTCTTTGAGAACCTCTCATCTCATCTTGCTGTAAGATATTCCTCGTATCATAATAGATAGGGGATTCTTAGCTAAGCAACTCGAGGGGAACTAGATGTTGTGGAGCTCAAATAGACTTCTGCCGCTTACGTCAGAGATAAGCTTGTTGCTTACCTGTACAATTCGACTAGAATGGATAAAGCTTCTCGGAGTCGATAGTTCATTGGCCCCCACCTTTGGCAAAGTGTTTAAGTAAGTTAATCTGGTGATGATCGAGCTGCTGTACAAATGTGAAATGACGCGATTGTATTTGACCAATGGCGGACCGTAAAGAGTTCTCCTAACCAGGTGATTGGTGCTGAACCTTCTCAATTTTACATGTTTTGTAGAGACCAATACCCCAAGCACATTATGATCCGCAGAGGGTACCAACAACAGCCATGTACGGAGTATTGAGTGAAATTTGTTCCCTCATTTTCGTCGCTGGAGCGAAGTTTAAATAATAATAAGTTAAGAATGGCCCAGTCAGTAAGCAAACATGCAATACCAATAGAGTCCTTTGAACTCATATTGCTTCTGTCCATACGGTCTACCTTCCACCCAACTGCCCTGAGGTTACCATCAATAAATTCCTCAACCTAACCACCAAGCCTATCACTCCCGGTCCCTTTCGCAACGAGCTTATCCAAAACCACCATTAGTCGAACAACATCGCCATACCCACATACCTAAAATCCCATCCTAAACTCACCATAACCCCTTGCAGCACCCAGCCTCTCGCAAACCTCACACCCCTGGCCCCCGGCGCACGCACCTTCTCCCCAGCCTTCCCCAATAGCATCTGCTACCACACTCTTCGCATAGAAATCTACAACTTACCTGTAGACCTCATTCTCTCCCTTGAGTCTGGCAAATACTGCTGAGATTTGAGCCGGGACTTTGACGTTCAGACACAGTGGAAGTGGTGTCTAGTAATCGAGAAAGTGCGGCCATTTTAAATGGATGTCTTGTTGTTGCAAAGACTATCCAGCCTTTCCTGTGAAACTTTTGGGCCAGAGCAGACCCTGGTCCGCCATCGCTACACCCGGTGATGAGCATACTTTTCTGACGCTCGTTCTCCATGACCCCATGAGGTGTGTTCGTAGGAATAAAAGATTTGGAGAAGAGCGTTGGAAGATGAGAGGTGTGATGTGTTTGTACCGTACGCATTGTTGGTTCGGTTTTTTTTTTCGAATTGTTTCCAACAGCAGGCCATCACTCAAGGAAGGCCTCTGTTATATCTTGGTCCTATTCTGGTCTCAAGATCCCAATTGAAAGTGCTTGGGAAGCTGTTTGCAAGCCCGCAACAAAAGTTGGTGGAACCACACGTCTCAAAATAAACTAAGACCTATCTTTTGTCTACCGCCTATTCACTCAACTACTCTTGATCTTTGATCCAAGAAAATACAAAGGTTAGAACGCATATCAGGGCCCAGCCCCGAATCGAACGGGGTGCCTCACACTCATCGTTTGACAGCCCAGAGTGCAAATCATAACCACTAGACCACTAGGCCGATCCAGTTCTTGCGTTGTAGGAATGTTGTTTCTCATATCATATATCTAAGAGGGTTGTGGTGTTGAGGTGTTGAGGTGATATTAATCACGTAATCTTAAAACTATTAGCGGACGTGAGAATGGCCTGTGGGCTTGGGGATAGAGTTCTTGGTCCTGGTTATCTCAATAACAGTCGTTCTAACATTGTGACGGGGTATGGGAAAGCAGGCACGGCTGTGCGAAAGTCATGTGATGGATAACGTAGACAGGTTAAATGAAAAGAATAGAAAACATCAACAGCCTTGAAATTCAGCACGTTGGCTAATATCTTCAATGCAATTCAGTCAGGGAACCTCAGCCTCGAGCGAAGTGTAGACCCCAATACTTGTGCTTGGCTATAGTCCTAGTTTGAAGGTTTCTAAGACTTGAGGTGAACGAACATCGAATTGCACACAAAATTATTAAGGACACGAAGTAGGCTTTGGGTTATTCGCTAGAGTAAGGCCACTGCTGCTCCAGAAAACAGACCATCCAAGAGGGAAGGCAAGGAGCTCAACACAAGTCAAATGCCAGAGAACTCAGCCGAACGCCACTTATCTTCCCTCTAGAATCATGTCGGCATTTTCCGTGGTTAGAAGATACCGTTTCCACCAAATCCAAAGTGCTCTCTAAGAATAGAGTTCAATGTACAACATCGGAACTAGAAAGGACATTGAGGCTCAAATAAAGTCAGGAGAATTGATGGAAATCGGGCGATTTTTGAGACATTTTAGTGCCACTCGGAAGACTATGCAGGTACCAACGACTCGGAATGATTTTTTCGACAAAGTTGCAAGTACAACAACTCCAACACGCACCAAGAGAGAAATTGAAGGCCCATAAACGGGAATGATACGAAAGGTATGCAGCTTGGATTGATAAAGTGGCGGACCTTTGCCGCTTTTCTGGCGAACGTACCTGAGGGGAAGATTGTCCTATTCGTTGATGTGCCCTATCGATTTGGTGTTGCATAGCCATATCAAGTAACCTTAGGCGACATGGCAAACCACTCTATTGCTGGTATCATTGGTATGTCATCGCTGCAAGGTGATTGTCCCTAAAAGGTCTCCTGGATGTGTGGATCTTCCGAGCTGTGAAGCCCTCCAAGCTATGTATCCGTAAATGGATTCGTCGACGTTGGTGCCAGGAGATGTCTGTATCTTCTTGCACGTCTCTCCCACGTGCAATTGAATCATTGGAGGACGAGCTACCTAAGCTATCGCTATCGACAAGGTACTCCATATCGATGCTTGATATTGTTGCCATGCTCGAAGTAGAAGGGATGGCGTGCCTCTTCTAAGCTGAGGCTCTGTCATCTTGTGATAATCCCAAGGCGAGACGCCGTCAGTTAGCTTCACATTCTTAAAAGAATAACTCACTGGCATCGTTTAGCTGGATTCCTCTGATTCTCAGTCTGAAGACAAGACGAATATCGAAGACAAAGTCCATCGAGAGGTTAGACGAACTAATCTAAGGTAGATGTAAAGTTACACGACCGAGAGATTCGGAGACCACCATTTCGGCCATGACTGCATCGATTCGATGTGCTCCGCAGATTAAGTACGACCTCGGCACAGCGATAACATGTCTTCTGTAACCATGAGGGCTGTGGGGTGCTTGCTATCTTATTCGTATGTCGATACAGAAAAGAGGGACGTACTCCGTACCTGTCGACAATTCGACCAAATAGGTAACCCCCTTGCAACGCTGACTGTTCCACGGCGTTTACCTGCATGCATTATTGCAGATTTCAGATTTTAGAGAAGCCGTTCCTAGTTCTTGCAGGTCCATCAACGGCAGGTCCCTTCGTCGCTAAGTGTATGGTTTTTGTTTTCCGCGAATCCAGCCGGCTTTGAGAAGTATGTGCATGCAAGGGCGGGGATTTCTGACGTCTGTCAAAGTGTTTTGCTGCAAACTTCCAATATTGTAATTTAGGCTAGAGTGACATTCGCTTGCAATACAACTTGGCACGACTTAGTCAAGACGAAGATGTACCCAAGTTGAGCTTTCGGAGGAAACCTCTGGTGCAGCACCACGCATCCACTGCTCACTTGTACAGCACCGGAATGCTGCAGTGCCCGTTCCAATCTCGGAGTAAACCATCAAGAGGTGCGAAAAGGCTTCTAGTTCAGCTCAAGATCTCAGAATTCCCAATGCCAGAGCATGGGTGTAACAGATGTGCAGCCGTGGCGTACATGAGTATGCGCCCCGCAGGACCAGAAAGGAGGGGGATGAGGCTCATAACCACGGGTCGAACTTGAGTAGGGATTGCGATGCGACAATCTTTTGGATACAGAAAAAGTGCAGATTGTCGGTCGGATGCATTTGTCGATATATCGAAATACGAGGCGTCCGTCGACTTCAGCAGAGTGCAACCACGCCGACTGTTTTGGACAATGCCCATGCCAATGCAGTCAGCGGGATGAGGGTGGAGATTCGAGATATCTCCAAGGAAAACTTCGAGTTATCGTCGTCTTGCTATATGAAGGAAGTTCTCCCTCGAAAAAAGGAGACACAACCAGCAGCACCATCACTCCTTATCAGAGCACCACAGGAACATCCAACTTGTCAATCACAATTCTCAAAGACCAAAATGAAATCCACAATGATGATCTTTTCCAGCTTCGTCTTGGGCCTTTTGGCGTCCACCGGCTCTGCTTTGGTTGCTCGAGAGAGTTTATCAAGCCGCCAAGGTACGCTCTTTCGTCCAACAATCTGCTGGTTCTTCTCGTTGCTAACATCTGCACTTAGCCCCAACGTACTCTTACTTGGGTTGCTACACTGAGGGCACTGGCGTGAGAGCTCTTGGTGCTTTCAACAGCGTCAACCATACCACGATGACGGTAGAGCTCTGCGCGTCCTTATGCACATCCTCATACACGCTTTTCGGACTGGAATATGGCGAAGAATGTTGGTGTGCCAATGTCTTTGGTACTGGAAGCGTCATAGCACCCGAGCTAGATTGTTCCTTCCCCTGTGTTGGCGATGCAGCAGAGATATGCGGTTGGTTCTCATACATCTGATGAAACAAGTCGTGGGTGCTGATTAAAATTGTCTAGGTGCCGGCAACAGACTCAGTGTCTACTCGACAGCTCCTGCTCCACCAGCTGATCCAGTTCACGTTGCCACAGCGCCCCCTTACACAAGATTTGGATGTTATACAGAGGGTAATGGAACACGCGCCCTATCTGGAGCCCAAGATGTTGATTACACACCTGGCACTGGTATGACGGTCGAGAAGTGCGCCACATTCTGTTCTGCTGGCTCATTTGCCGTCATGGGTGTGGAATACGGAGGAGAGTGTTACTGTGGAAGCGAGGCTTCTTTCGCTATATCGGGAGCATCACTGGTCGCCGATTCGCAATGCGATATGCTGTGTGCTGGGTCGTCTGCTGAGTTCTGTGGAGCTGGAAATCGTCTCGATACTTATCATATTGTCTAGTTGCTACCTACGCTTTAGATCGACGAAAGCCGGTGCGGGATTGAGGTTTGGGGGGTTCGGCGGCGACAGACGGTGGTCTAAAAGCGTTTTGATGTTGTTCACTTCTCCTGTTGCCAAAAGACTATCGACGTGGTAGACTTAGTAACTGTTTATATCCGGTCAAAGATGTAATAACAAGACTTTGGGAGTTCATATTCATCGTACATGTAACGTGATTGCGAATACCTGTTTCTGTTCCGCCTTGCAGAGAACGACTAGACTGTCCCCAAGCAGGGCAGAGAATACCAGAGAAGAAATGCAACGTGCTGATACTATAAAGCAATGCGCAGTATTCGGCTCCATATTGAGAAGAAGAGATCCGGTGCCCTGCAAAACTCAATGAAACTCTGGAGGATATGGATCATTTGTCACAAACTCGCGTATTTGTGTTACACAAGGACGGGCAAGAAATTTCCTCTTACTCCGTACTAGTTCATCCTTAATCAATCCGATTGACGCCAACTATGCGTTAATGTTTTCGACGGGTGACCTGGACTGATTCTCGGATCATCTTAAGACGACTCGAAAAGTCTTGTTTGAAGCAGGCATGGAGACTCTGAAAATTCCAGGACTTCTCGGTCCAGAAATAATTGAACGTGATATCTCAACCTCTAGCGGATCGAATTTTCTGTACGGTCCGTACAACAAGGGAGCGGAGAGACAAGGTTGCGCGTGTCATAGTGTACGAAGTACGAGGTACGATCTCAACGGATTTGTTTGCGACGCGGTCAGAAGCTGAAGCTGAAGAGAGCCAAGACTCAAGACTCAAGAGACAACAGATTCAAAAGACTCAATAGACAGACTCAAGACTCAAGAGACTCAAGAGACAACAGACTCAAGGGACAACAGACTCAAGGGACAACAGACTCAAGAGACAACAGACTCAAGAGACAACAGACTCAAGAGACAACAGACTCAAGGGACAACAGACTCAAGGGACAACAGACTCAAGGGACAACAGACTCAAGGGACAACAGACTCAAGAGGCAACAGACTCAAGAGGCAACAGACTCATGGGACTCAAGAGACAGACAAGAGTCTCAAGGGACAACAGACTCAAGAGACAACAGCTCAAGAGTGGCTCCACTAGCCCGCATGAACCAAGTTCCGCTCTTGGCGCAAGATACTCCGTACTCGCTCTTTGAGACCACGCCGGAGTTGCTGGGCATATTGAAAGATTATGAACCACACATAAAAAAAAATAAGAAGTTATAAGAATGTTTCTTGCAATGTTGCCCGTGTTTGTTCCGAGTTTCCTGTGAAGTTTGCTATCAATTCCGAGCGTCTGAGAGCGATATCCAGCGATATCCAGAGATATAAGGTTATGCCACTTACGTGTTGGCCGGCCCTGTCCTGCTCCGCCCCAAAGTACGCTAATAATACTCTCATTTGGTGCGTCCACCCATTGATTGACCCAATCCTCACTTCATTCATCAATAATAATCCCCATGATCGAACAATCCTCAAGATCGACCTCAAGTTCCTCCCTCGAGCGGGAGC